GCACTTACAACATAAATTTACATTGAAAATAAAAAAAATTCTCTTACCTGTGGGAAAAGCGAGTGTCGCGTTCGCGCAACGTCAGCGGAATAAGACTACGGATGTGTAGTGAGTAGGATTGTACTCGTGTGATGTTTCTTTTGAGTTGAGCGCAGGATTACGTTTTAGCTGTATAATGTTTTATAAATCTACAAATCACTTTACTTGTAATTAATTTAATATTAAAATATACATTGTATTTTTTTTTACAAATACAGATTATTTCATTTGAAAGATTCAAACATGAAAAGCTTGATTACGATCATGATGTAAAGCTACATTACATACTTTGCATCTATAAACAGTCTGGCTATAGTACTCTTTACAACAAAGTCTTTTGTTATCAACGGACTTTACCATAAAATGTCTACCATCTCCATGCAATGGTTTTTGAATGCTGAATTTACTAGGTCTTCCTGTTGCTGATCTATTTCTGGCTAATTCTACACTCTCAATAGGAGTTTGCAAAAGAAATAATGCATTCTCGCGTCTGAAATCTAAAAGAGACTTTATAATTCCAGTAGTAAAAAGTGGTGATATTTAGTAAGTTTAGATACGGTCTCACCTCATATAATTTATCAGTACTGTCAATTTGACTATTGTCAAATGCAAACTCTGCTTCATATTCCTGTACTGCAAACGTGATATCGATTCTCGTACAACAGGAACAGAAATGTCTTATCAAAAGAGCAATACATTTTTTATTGAATGTTATACATTTTATTTACCAATACATTTTATTTAAAGAATGATATCCTGTAAGCAATAATATTCCAATAAATCTTCTCATATAGGCTTCAAATGCAATAACATCTGTCCTTTTTTTTTTTTTTTTTTTTTTTTTTTTTTTTTTTTTTACTGAGCGTATATATTTGTCTGTTCAACGAGAGGAGAGTAAATGTCTAAACCAAAAAGAAAATCGAAAACCTCTGCACTAGTTTTACCTTGTGTTTCGTCTTTTATAATTTCTCTTCTATCCCTTTCTTCATGTTCTTCCTGAGACATAACTAACAGTTCCTTTTTTATCCACTTCAAGATTTCAGTCTTCTGCTTTTTAAACTTTTTAGTATGACTATATCTGTTTTTAGAAGGCTGAAACTTACTTCTTACATGAATTTCAACTTCCCCAGCAGTGTCATTTGGTAAAATATCATTATCATTATTTAAAACATTGCCATTCCTTTCTTCTTCGTCACAAGGCTTTGCAATTTCTGGCAGAACAACAAGAATATCAATTTCATTCTGGTCATTATTAACATTATCATCATCTGTTTCTTCATCAAAAAATCTTTGAAGGGCTTCTTCTTATGTAAGATACGTCGTTCTAGGTATTTTGAAACAACCAGAACATGAACCAGAACATCGAAAGGAATGAGTCAAAAAGGAGATTGACTACCCGTTTCCTGCTGACGCTGCGTCAACGCAACACCTATTTTCCCTTCCTTCCCAACACAAATATAAATATCTGACTGATGTAATGCTCTGATAAACGGTGACCTTGACTAAAAATAGATCACTCATAAAGACGGCGATTCTTTCGTTAAATATTTTCAGCAAAAATACCCGGTCGAAAATTTTGCTTAAATTATGAGATTAATTATTATAAACAAAATGATCGTTGAAGGCAAATATTTTTTACAGAAAAAATCTTCATAATATTCCCTACACAAAATCATCTGCTGGTATAAAATATCTTAGGTAGTTATATTTATATACGCATTTATTTTGACCGTTGCGTCAACGCAACACCAGCGGCTAATGGGTTAATACAATTTGCATCAACGTATTTATGTGAAACTGGATTTAGCAAACTAGTTTCAATAAAAACTAAATACCGCTCGCGTTTAAACTCTGAAGATGATATGCGAATTGCAATTAGCAATATACATCCAAACATCGATGAGATAATTAGAAACTTGCAGCCACATACATCTCATTAAAAGGCAATTTACTGATTTTTGTGTTATACAAAAAGTATTTTCTTAAAATTATAAATAAAATTAATATGAGTCAGATATGATGATGTTTTTATTCGATGAAATGAAAGAAATGCGCGAAATATACATCATATTTGTGAACATTTATCTCTAGGGGTCGCCAAAAATTTTCTCTCTACAAAAGGGGTCGCAGTCGAAAAAAGTTTGCGCACCGCTGATCTAGATAGTTAATAACTTAAGTAATGCTATGCAACAATTGTTGATGAGATGCACTGGTGATTAATGAAATAATTAATGACAATTAATGACATAGGTAAGAATGAAGTGACAATTAATGAAGGCCATTAGATACATAAGCACATTACCATAGGTACATTGGATATATAGGCTGGTTATGTAGAAAGGATAGAGTTATAGTTAAGCCGACTCACACAAGTCCTGGCCTAATACCTGCAGTCTGTCCATAATACTTTTGAGTTTTTTAAGTACTACTGGTTGGCGAATAAAGAATCTTTTATACTCTGGATCTATGTTCTTAAACGGCATGTGCCACTCTCGTGTTAGTAGGCAGGAGGTGACGTGGTGGTCCGGGCTACCTGGCTGACCATACACACAGATGTTGGTGTTTGTTATTCCTCGTCCTAGAAAATATTCTGGGAATGGACCATGTCCCGTTATAAATCTGGTGATGTGTGGCTGAGATATTTGTTTGTCAAGGCTGACTTAGCGAATTCATAGGTCCTTCTTCCTTGCGGAATAGAATTCCCCACTTCATGTCATTGCTTGAATGGGCGGCGCTTTAGAAGCAGCCTTCTTTACATAGGAATTTGGTAACTTTATTACCAGTTGTTCCGCATCGAGATTGCTCGCCGGCTTCTTTAGGCTAATAAATCTGCCTCCTCATTCCCCTGGTGTCCAGCCTGTGCTTTAATTCCAGAAGATCAGGATGCGTCCTTCGTCACTGATCACAGGGTTTGCTGAATGCGCCCTATGATGGGCGACCTTGTGAAAAGGAATTCCGAATTGTATGAAATTGCTGACAGGCTGTCGGTGTGTATTTGTGCGGTGAAGTAGCTAAATTGTCTCGCTGCTAGGATTGCCTGGCGTATGGCTTCGGCTTCCGCCTGAAAGACTCAGTTGCCTGCGCCCAGAAAGACTTTCCAAGACCTTAAGGTGCTTCCATTTCGTTTAATGTTATAGCTACAGCCTGTCGTTCCATTCACCTGAGAGCCATCTGTATAAATCTTAAGGGCATTAGAGTGATTGTTGTTGTCTTTAAGCATCGTTGTATAAGCATGGACATTCTTGCAGAAAAAGGTCGGGTGTACTTCCGCAACTTGTAGATTGCTCTCAAAGTCCTCCGGGGAGAAATGGAGGTTCTGGTATTGAGCAGGTTGCTTAAGGCCCTCGTTGTGGCCAAAACAAATGGGCGTTGAACGCTGTTCAAAATTTGTTGCTTCCTCGAAGTCATTGGAAGTGCCCATATGGCCGCCCCATAGATAAGTATTTTAACAGACTTGGAGCGTAACGTGTTGAATAAATGCCTATAGGAATCACGTTCCAAACGTAAACTATCTTCTACTGCGATAAGAATCGCTGGCCCTACAATGCCAGCGCTTTTAAGCTGCGCGCGTGCCCTGATCGGGATTGCCTAAGAAATACGCTTGGCGCTCAACGTGTTAAACGTGTGATTATCTCAGTTTATTCAGAACGTGTTTCGCTAGCCTAGCGCACGTTTCGTTGTTATTTCGCGGTCACGCTAGTAAGCCTCTTGGCCTTATCAGTTTAGTATCACGCCAGTTAGATTTCTGTGAGTCCATTTCTTAGGAGTAATTTTGAAGCGCGTTATTGCATTCGTTTATTTTTCAGTTTTGATTTATAGTCTACGTTTAGTTACCGCCGTAAATGAACGGTGTTTTTGTAACGCACGAAGTCCGTGCTTTCTGTTAAATTAGTTTGATTCAATAAAGGGTTATTTTGCACCTTTTTTCTGTGCTGGTATTTAATTCACGCCTGTGCGAGAATTCGCCAGGTTCATTGTAAGATCTAAGTTAGTGTATGTGGACAAGTAGAGATAGATCTTACAATTGGACTTTTCACGTTTTTCCGTCTGCCTATTTGCGTTTTGCTGAACTTGTGGTTTTCTTCTGAGGAGTAAACCTTGAATGTTCGATAAACTGGTTCGCACGCACTTTCTCCGAGTTCCTTCTGTTATAAAGTCCTTCACGAAGGCATCCCTACCCTTAGGCAGATAGCCCTAGTGTGCTTTGCCGTAACCGATTTCCTTCTGCTTTGGAACTTTACCGCGAGCTGGAATAAAATTTTCTAATGTCTGCGGGTTACGGACTTCGAGGAAATCTTGAGCTGATAATAGACGCGGTAGAATTACCACGATAAGTTCACTATCGGGTCTCTTCTCATATAATAAATTGAATATTTGGATTTTTCTTAGAATGAACTTTATCAAATCCTCGGAACAGCTTTGATATTTGCTAAACATTTCCGACTCTAGCTTCGCACGGTCTTTAACAACTGGAAATGCTTTTGATAATGTAGACTTGAAGTTTTCCCGGCTGTTCGATTCTGAACCTGGGTCCTCCAAAAAAAACTTTCCGATCCCTTTACACCAGCTAAGAGCTTGACCTCTGAAGTTTGTTTTCGCGATGGTGACTTTCTGCAGCTGGTTTACTGTGTATAAAGTAAAGTGCAGGTCCAGTTGCTCCAGGAAGGTCATCATTGAACCTTTGCCATCAAATGTTGCGGCTGTCTTCATAGCAGCACGCATCGTTTCCACGATGAATCCAAATCCTTCTATTGGATTCGCAGCCGTCTGAGGGACCTGAAAGGTCGGAGAGATCAACACAAACTTCCCGGACTCTAACGACATGGTCCTTTGAAAACTTTTCGGTCGCCAAATGTAGGATTTTCCATTGTGTAATTCTAAGTTACAGTTAAAAGTGAAGAATCTTAAGAACTAGTAAGCGAATAATCGCTTGAGTTCGTGAGACAGTAAGTAAACTTAGAAAGGGTTAAAAAATCCTTTATTATTAAAATAAGATTTAACAGAACTCAGTTTTGTGTTGTATAATAAAGCTGACACTTAGGATTGAACTTAAAAGACTAAGAATTAAACTAAACTAATCTTAACTAAAGAGATAAAGCCGAAGCTATTAAAATTCTAACAGAGTTGGCCCCTTAACGCTAACTAACTGCGAAGCTATCAAGGGTCTAAAGTACGACCGAGCATAATAAAAGCTTAGGAGAGAGTAGCCTAAAAAAGCGGACGCGTGCCGCCAGAATATCTGATATCTCTCTCACTAAGACAGTAGAACTCTGAAGTTAAATACCGCCCTTCCTCATTTGCATTCAGACGTGATTCTAAAATTACGTTCTGGCCGGAAGTGATAAGTTGAAATTAAGAATCGATAAGAAGGGAAGTTTAACTCAAAATTTAACTGTTAATAAAATTAAAATAATCCTTACAAACTAAAGAAGATAAATTTTTGTGAATGTGAAAGCCTTCAAGTATAATTCAAAGTTTTAGGCAGAGAAGATTTACGGATACTTTTCTCTTAACCAATTCAAAATTGTACATAATTTTCACATATGATTATCTCCTTATTTTGTCTTAATTTTTTTTTGAACATTTCTTAATTTTTTTCTTGAACTTAAGCAGCTCGTTGGTGCTATTGATTCTTAATCTTTCAGTTGTGTTTTTGAAGCTTTTGCATTTCCTGTGAAGAACTGTTAGTCCCATGACTGAGGATAAAGACATCAGTTCAGTGACGGTATCATAAGTAATGGGGACATTTTCCAAGTGGCGTTTGCAGTATTTCTGCAGTTCGTCCATTCCAAATCTGCAGGCAACATTCCAGATTTCAGGAAAGTCTCTAAGTGGTGTTAAAGTTAATCTATACTCTTCGAGGAACCTATAAAATGAATATGGATTTTAAAATGCATTGAAATTATTGTTTTCTGTGTGCATTTTGTTACTTGAATACCATACATTATTTCATAAAAGAAGCAAAGAATATCTTCCCATTCCTGTAGTATATTATCTAAACATAGCGTGGAATATTTTAATCTGTATTTAAAGTGAAGTGACGACAGTGCGCACATTGACGGTTCGACTGCATGTAAGGATTGATAACATGTTGCGATAAGAGTATTCTCACTTACTAATCTGTCTGAAACTATCTGAACACTAAATGAGTCATAATCCTGTTACTATAAAGAGGACTCTTTATAGTAACAGGATCATTTTTCCGTCAGCCTCCCTGAACTGAGAGGCTTTGAGGAAGATACATTGCTAATCGCACTATAATATGCATAAATTTCTGATCATTATGTAAAATAACGTTTTTTCTCTCTTCTTCCAACATGCCTTCATGGTGTAACGGTAGCACACTCGCCGCATATTGAAGAGGTCCAGCTTCGAGTCCTAGCGAGGGCATTGCTCATTTTTCTTGTCTCCTGCTTAAAACAAGACTGACCAGCGGGCAAGCGTTAAAGTTGCTGAACAGTTCGCACTGAGCTTCGAATATCGGGAAGGCCTGGGTGCATGGGAATTTCATGGTTTCCCCTGTGTGTAACGCGTATACGAGCCAGTTTCCCTTAGAAAGCCCTCCATGAAGTCATCCCTACCCTTACGCAGATAGCCCTTGCGTTCTTTCCGTAACGAAAGAAACCACAACCAAATCTGCTGCAAAATAACCCAAGGACTCTCCAGTGGTCACCGAAAATGTATAATTTTAGATTTTCATTAGCTTTTAAGCTTCGTTTTATATATTTTAACTTCATTCTGTGTTTGTTTTGTGGGTTTCTATACATTTTTGATTATACATTGTTTTAGCAACTATTGCTAAAAATTATAAAAAAATAGTCAATGCTGTCAAGTTCAGTACTGAAGTGAAGTTTAAGGTAAAACAAAATTATTTTTCGAAATGTGGTCACCATTCTAATCCATCGAAACACTTACATTTTGTTTCGGTATTCCTCAAAGCATTGGTATAATGCGTGTTTTGGTGGGGAAATACAAAGGCCGTCGAGTCGTTTCGGTTAGCTTGAATTGTCTAATAACACTAACTCCAAGTTTCATCTTGCCTAAAGAGGACAGATTCGTCAGAAAGTAAGGAATATCAGAGATAATAAAATGACTAGGGACATGACGGAAATTTACTACTGATCGAAATAACTTACGCTTCTCTGCTTAAGCGTCCTTCATTCAAAGATATTTTAGCATATTTTGCAACACTACAGGAATTATTCTATCTCGAATGATTTTACACTATGCGTTTCTTCTGTACAATTAAAATTTTCTGACAGTCAAATTCAGCTATTTCAAGTTTAACAGATGTAATTTGGTGCATATTGCTTTTGTAATTTTGATGCTTTAAACCTTAATGTGATTTCAGTAGCAAGAATTTTAGCAGTTTATGGGTGTACAAAATTTATGAATTGTGTCATTATTTGAATTATTTGACATGGGTTTAAAAACTTCAAGGAAAGATTGCTTTTCTTTGCTTATAAATTTAGGCTCTTAATAATTTTTAATGAGATTTTAGCATGGAATTAAAACCTCGAGCACTCTCATTTCTTATATGTTCCCATCTTAAATAGTTAGTTCGTTTATGCCAGTGGAACAACGCAAAAGAAAACTTTCTGCTTCACTGAAGGAATAACTTCGTAAAAGATGTCAGACCTCCTTTAATATTATAAGCGGTGACCCAATTTTTGACAGACGTAATGCAGTTTATCGCTAAGTATAAGAGAAATTTACGAAGACTGCAAAAGATCTTTATTTTAAAATAAATGGATATTCAGAAGGCACACGTGGTGCTTACAAAATCTGCCAGCACTTATACCGAGCCATTTAGAGAAGAAATTTAAATGTAATGCTAAATTTAAATATCTAATAGTCAAAGGCTATGCAAAGTAATTTAATCGCGAAGTTGGCTCGTACTTTACAAGCGTGAATTGAACTATCGGCAAAAAGTAATGTAACGGCGAAGACAGGAACTCTTGCCAAGAAGAGCATCCATATAGCCATCCATGTTCACCGTGAATCACTAATACTAAAAAACTTTCGGATAGCTTTGGAAATCCTAACTTTTGTAAAATAAAAAATGTGTGCAACTTGAAGTGCATCAGAAATGGCAGCAACTGTGCGTTCGAAGGCAAGTATTGCATACTACTACTATGGCTGGTGCAAAAATATTTCTAGTACAATAGGGATTGAGTGTTTAGTCACATGTAGGACATCCTTACTCTTTTATGGCTGCAATTTATGCTTTGAAAACACAAGTGTTTCATACACACATACACACACACACACACCTGTCAGTAATTTGAGAATATTTTTTGTTCTCTCCTCTTCTTACCTTATCATAGAGGATAATCCTTTGAAGCTTAGATCATCAAGCTTTATAGCTGACAGCTTCGGTGAGTTATGATCATCATCGAAGAGCTGAGCAAAAAAAGTACTCGATGCTTTCAAAAGTGTGTAGTAAGTAATTAATTCTTGAATCTTTGTTCCGTCATATACATTAAATTTGATCTCTGAAATTTAAAAGGTATACCTAGAGTAAATTATCAAAGATATAGATTTGTATAGGTAAAATTTAATACAATTTTTTTCTGTTCATATACAGATATAGATATTTATAAGATGAAAATACACAAATCAAAGTTGTAACTTAAATTAATCAATAGCCGCTTAATTCGTCATTTTCGTTTGGGTATTTGCCCTCTCCAAAAAATTGTAATAACTTTTTCTGCACGGAGTCGTTTCTAGGAATAATCCATATCATATGACTTCTATCACACGAAGACAACGTAGTTAATTCCAAACTTAAATGGGAACCTTATAAAGTTCTAGTTAGTTTAATTGTCCTTGGTAACTTGAACTTTAATCAAGTGCCTAGCGATCATTCGCTGGTCTTCTTACATTTATAATGTATAAGTCCGAAGAAGGGTATAAATACCTTTTGTTCTAAACTAAAACTTAGTGGCGTAACAACCCTAATGGGCCAAGGCCTGCCCGAAATCCGCTTTTTTGACCGTGGGCTCCGGGGTTCGTAAGCATATACCCTGAACAAGCGGTCAGCTTGTCGCAGGACCCCCAGTGTTTAGTCCCAAGCGAACTTTGTACTCATTTCATCGACCCAAGTGATGGAAATCAAGGCATAAAAGTCTGAGTCGACCTTGCCCAGCCCGAGAATTGAACCTGTGGTGCGGCTGCCGTTAGCCACCGCGCCACCTGGCCTCACCTTTTATTCGCTCAAAGAAATTCTAAAAGAGCGCCCCTCTGGAGATTGCAATAAATCCTGCACTTGGGCTTTTAACTTAAGATCGAAAATAAGAAACTAAACTATTTCTGTCAATTTAGAAGTCAAACAATGAAAATCAGCGTTAATTTTTGCAAATTTTCGCAGGATTAGTTTCGATGGTTTTACCGAAAGTTAGCTTCATTTTGTTCCTTTGTTTTCCGTGCACTTCACGTTTGCTCCTCCAGATAGGCTTTTCATCAAGAACTAAATAATTTAACTGCAGTTGCTATTCACTGGGCTTTTCACGCAACATTTTTAACCAAGCAGTTAAAAAATTCTCATTTCAACACATGCAAAGGCACATTCTTGTTCTAGGCGATTATAAGAATTCAGTTGTCTTTCCTTCCTTTCTTTAAATTAGCTATAACACTGCACGTATTTTACATAAATGTAACTTTCGGTTCATTTATTCTCCTATCAATAAAATTCCAAGTTTTATACTTAAGGACCCCATTCCGGATATAATTTCTTAGGATACTTACAGGATTCCTTGCCAGTGTCGTTTAATTTACATTGGTGAAACTAAAAGAGCCTTCAAATTTCTCTTTAAAGGACATAAGACATATGTTAAGAAAAAGGAAACACAAAAATTCTCTGTTGCTGAGCATTGCTTGTCCGAAAATCGCACTTTTCCTTTTACTGCAGCCAACATTATTCAAAAAACATCTTCTATTGGTAAATTAGATTTTCTAGAGGCGTTTCGTTTTAAGAAAATCTTTCTGTTCTAACGACCCTTATTCCAATCCATCATTACATTCAGCCGTTCAGGAAGCTATGTTTTAGTTTTCTTGTTTCTTCAAAAGATGGCGCCAGTAGTGAATCCTGATGAGCTATTTTTATCTTTTCATAAGATTGATGGTTCGATAAAACCATTGAAACTAGTAATGTGAAAATTTGAATGAGCTTGTGAAGCTTATGGATGAAGAAGTTATAGTTTGACTTCAGTTACTCAATAATCAACATCATTACAGTTTTACTATTAAAGCTATTGTTTTGTTAACGAACTAGAAAAATCAAACATAACCTTTAGAAATTTTAACTGGTATACTGCTAACAGGTTTAACTCATTACAAAAAATTTTCGTTAAACAGTTTCCTGCATTTAACCATCCATCAAAAATAATAGTAAATGTGCTTTTTCATATTTTAGTAAATAAAAAGTTGTGCCATGATAATTATTATGTTATACATTAGGCTAATGCAAACTTTTGTTCGATAAAATTAAAGTGGAACAATAGCAGAATAACTTACTCAATTCCTCTTTGTTGCTAGGTTCTCCAATGAGGTCAACTCGAATTCTGTTAACTGGGCCCAATTCAGTTGACTAGTTAAGAAATAAATAAATATTTGCTGTAGGATATATTAAATCAAAATTATTGTATTAGCATTGTAAATCCTGTAATAAAATCTTCGCAGGTTCTCTCTAATACACCGAAAGTGTACTAGTTTCCCAAAATTAAGAAAGATATCTCAATAAAGTGATAACTAATTCGAAAATGAGCAAATCCGTATAAAATTTGAATATGTGGTCAAATAAGCGTACCTCAATAAGGCACTGCGATCAGATTGCGTCATCTTCAAGGAGGGTTCCTGCGTAAAACTAAAGTATGCAATTTACTGGTGCTGCGATCGGAATACGTCATCTTCGAGGAGTATAAAATGGAGTGTTTCAGAGCGCGCGTGCAAATTTCCTTGTACGATTTCAGGGAAATCTGTGGTATTGAATTGTGGTGAAACAGCCAATTTATAATAATGACTTCCAGGCATTATTTCCCCAAGAACTGTGATGAAAAATTTTGGGAAACTATAGGCAAAGCAACCTCAAACATAACTGGTATGATGGCTAAATGTGAGTCTTTCTGTCGTTCATAGACATTGGCAAGAATTTTAAATCACAGATTCGGCATCCAGGAGGTCAGCCAAAGACGGACAAATGTTAAGACGAGGGCAGATGATCGATATTTGTTGCTATGGGCACGAAGGAATAGAACAGCAACTCAAACTCATCTAAGATCCTCACTTCCTGCAGCCACCAGAAGGTTGGTATCAACGTCAAACATCCGTAGAAGACTTCACGAAGGAGGTTTCCACGTGAGGGGACAAGCCATTTACGTGTCGCTCGCGTCACATCACAGAAGGTAACATTTGAAGTGGACACGTCAATATGTCCATTGGACGGCTGCTCAAATCGCAATCAACTGTTCTCTTTACGGATGAGTTTAGGTTTAGCCTCCAAAGCGATAATAGGCGTTATTTGACTTGGATAGAACACGGAACCCGTTATAGTTCATTAAGCATAGTTCAAAGAGATGCATACCGAGGAAGCAGTGTCAGTGTTTGTGTTGGTATCTATTTGGGTGTATGCACAGACGTGTATGTCTTTCCATGCAGAACCGTAAATGCTCAGTCCTATAAAGATGAAATCCTTGAACTGTTGCTATTCTTAAATGAAAATTTTAAACTCCTATGTTAAAGTGCGAGTGGCAGTCACTGGGAACACGTCATGCCATCCTAAATGTAAGTTTAGATATATGGATTTGAAAGGCTGGGGAATTTCCGTTTGAACTTAATATATATTTCAGTAAGTGTATGTACAGAAGTAAATGCAAAATTCTTACCATTACACGCACATAGAACAAAACAAATATAAAAATATGAAGTAGAAATAAGAAAATAAACAAACATACCGTTTTATCTGAGATGTCTTCTTTACTGGAGGTTGATACCATGTCATTATTCTTTCTTGAAATTTGTGTCGAGGAAGCAATTACATCTCTTGATTCATCTTCAAAATTAATTCGAATTTTTTCATCCCCAACATTCCTAGAAGCTTCCAGTTTGGCATTAGCGGGACTTTTCGCTGGTAATGATGGCCATGAAGAAGGCGTGTTCTCATTTTCATTTTTGTAAAATTTATAGGTGCCGACGTCAAGAGCTGGGCTGCTTTTTTCATTTTCTGTAACAAATGTTCGTTGCACTTCTGTATCGTATGTGTTACTGGATATGAACACGTCGAAATCATTTTTACGTATCTTTGTGATTTGATTTGATCTCAGGGTAAGATCAGACGTTTCAACACTTCGGTTTGGTGTAATAGAAGATGTGGTTTGAACTTCTTCGTTTTCTGTCTCTTTTCTATTGAACAAAACAGCCTCAGATTTAGAAATTTGCGAACATCCATCAATTGTTGATACTACTGTACTTTGCGTTCCTGTGGTCAGAGATTCCGTTGAGTGAAACGTATAAAACTCCTCTTCAGAAATTTCCGCGCGTTCTTCTAGCTTTGCATGTAACGAGGTTTTCACAGATGCAATTTCCTGGACTGGAAAGAAATACGCCTCATTGGGAGAAATTTCCGTACTTTTATCCAACATTATAAAATCCGATGTCTGCGTAGCACTGTTACTAACTCCCAGGTTAGAAATCTCGCTTGGTTTACATTTTGGTTTCAAAAATTTCCTTTTGGATTTATGAGTTATGCAGAATGATGGCAAATCCGGCGATCCGAAATGTCGAATATTTGAAAGAATGCTGACAATTTCGCTATCGCTAAAAAAAGATGAAAACTTTTTGGTGACCGCTAAAACTTCATCGACATCTAAGGCCATTATGTCTATGCAGGACAACAGTTTATCCCTTGATGAACTGTTTCGGTTGTGCTGTAACCACGCAATGGCAGCTTCGAGCAGCCGAACTTCACTTTCATCGACATCTAAGGCCATTATGTCTATGCAGGACAACAGTTTATCCCTTGATGAACTGTTTCGGTTGTGCTGTAACCACGCAATGGCAGCTTCGAGCAGCCGAACTTCACTTTCAATATTTAATTCTGGCAACTCAAATATATGAACCAGAGTATTCAAACTTGCATGTCTTAGAGCGGAAGAATTCAACACCGTTTCTGTATCATTCATAACAATATTTAGGCATCTCTGACGAATTCCGTCGTGTTTTACTCTGTCAGCAGCGTCAAGTACTTCGTATACATTATCTCCAGTGATCTCCACGTTCATGAGGCAAGAGATGCAAAGGTTTTCTAGGGATTTTATACTGTATTTCAATGAGGCTTCAAGCCCTTGTTTGAGAGCAAATGCAGAATAACTGTCAATGTCATCCAAATAAATATATCTGTAAAAAATATGAATAGTATTTTTAAAATATGATTAAATGTTTATACAAAATTTAAGGAAACATTTATAACGGAAGTGGAGCATTTATACGTGGCTTTAGAACATGTTTCACTAATTACCGTATTTGTCGGCGTATAAGACTCACCGCTTTTGTATACACATTTTAAAGGATAAAAACATTTTTACTGACCATTATAATGAATTTGCAGTATTTTAAATATAAAATAATACAAATACAAAGTAATACTTTCTGAAAACACCCAATATATCTGGAAAAAAACACCTTTTAATCTTCTTCATCAAAACCCATACTAATCTCCAAAGCTAAAGAAGAGTCACTTGAAATATCTTCTAAATCAGCATCTGAGTCCTCATACCACAAATTGTCCCCTGTACCCTGTTACCATTTCTTTAGCATACGCAATCATGCGTAGCTTGTATTCTGTGTTACAGCACTGTCGACGTTGGTTTTGAGCCATAACTTACCAATAAATTAAGAAAAGTGTACGGTAGAAATTTCACACATTAAAGACGTTCACAAAACTGCAAAGTTTAAACGAACTCAGCTGTGATCTTCGATGACACACATGCTTATTACTGAACTCTAGTAACTGTAATATCCCCACATTCGCAAATAAAAAAAAAAAATTTCGTATAAGACTCGCCCCGTTTTTCAGACCTATTTTCAATGGAAAAAAAGGCGTCGTATAGCGCAAAACGGAATTGTATTTATGACTCAAACTTCATTCAGAAGATGAACATTAAGAGGTACACTGTAAAAAAAACAGGACAATTCGTATCTCTCCTTTTACTTGGGCCAATTGATGAAAATTCAGTTTGGTATTTCTAAGTCGCGAAAGCGCATTTCAATGTATATTACTTTACGTATAACTTGTTTTAACGTAGTTATTCTGACACAAAATCGGAATTTTTTCTGAAAGGGCAGATCTATTATTTTCCTATTCCAATTCTACGACTCAAATAATGCCTAAATATGAAGTTTTGCAAATTTGAGAAACCTAAAGAGAAATTTAAAAAATGTATATTGCAGACTTTAGTTTGCGCCAAGAAAATTTCGCCTCTTGGCGAAGTTTATAATTTAGGTAACCTATTTCCTTCCCGCTCATTGCAAGACCGGGAAAAAGGTTCACCGTTAATTCTTTAAAAATAATTTCAACAAAGGGCATAAAACACATTTGGTGTTATTATCGTTTTATAACAAGTATGGCAAACTTCAAAACACGCCAATAAATAAATTTACTTCTATATTTGGGAATTTTGAATGAAAAGCTGTAAATTTTTGCAGGTATGTTTATACATACATTAAGATAATGGTTAGAAATATGTTAAGGTAATGAAAAAATGTATAGGAAATTCAGTTTTTTTCAAAATTTATAAAAAATTGTTGAAAAACGCAAATTTAAAATCAATCAGAGAAAAGCTGCGGATTTCATTTGATCGAATGAATTTAGAATTGTGAAAGAAGGATCATGTAATGTAAGAAAAGACATGTTAATAAATATGTAGGAATGTATTAGCATTGAGAGGAAAATTTTCAGATTGATTTTTAAATATATACTCATGGGATTCTTACAAAACTTCTCCTGTGGCATATGACACGTGGATTCGGAATATGGATAAAATTGTTATGTCATGTTAGAAAATCCGATTTTTGTGTCCCTAAACTATGTTGAAAATATTGCTATATATAAATCTACTATATATCCTAAGATTTATTCGCGCTTTCGAGACATGAAAAACGCGTGTTAAATCTTGTCCATTGGCAAACTCCGTTCGAGGAATTTAATACTGTATTTCAATGAGGCTTCAAGCCCTTCTTTGAGAGCAAATGTAGAATAACTGTCAATGTCATCCAAATAAATATATCTGTAAAAAAAGATGTGAACGGTGTTTTTTAAGTATTATTATAGATGTTTACATAAATTCAATAAATATTTGTAACGAAGGGTTTTATATGTGGCTTTAGAACATGTTTTACTAATTAATTATATTTATGACTGAAACTTCATTCAGAAGATGAACTTTAAGGGGTACAGTGGGAAAATAAAAGAACTATTCTGTATCTCTCTTTTTGTTGGGCAGATTGACGAACATTTAATTTGCATGTCTCCAATGTGCGACATAGGAAGTATTTAACTCTAACGTAGATATTCTGATACAAAATCAGACTTTTTTTCTGAAATGGCATATCTATATTTTTCCATATTCCGATTCTGCGACTCAAATCACGCCTACAAATTAAATTTTGTAAAATTTGGTGAGAAACGTATCAAGAAATTGAAAAAATTTATTGCTGAGCACTTTTTTCAGTTTGCCCCAAGAATGATATTTCGCCGCTTGGCGAATATCTTAATTTATAGTAACTTATATTGCTTTCCCTTTCATTGTTTATGAACGGAAAAAAATATGCACCGTTCATTTTTTCGAATAATTCCGACAGAGTAAATAAAACCCATTTGGTGTTATTATCGCATATAACAAATATGACAAATTTCAAAACTAGCCAATATATAAATTTACATCTATCTTGAGAAATTTTGAATGAAAATCTATAATGTTTTGCAGGTATGCTTAGTGATATATTTACTTTAAGGCAATGGTAAAACTTTTATAGGTAATTTAAATATGTTTTCCAAAAATTTATAAACGTTTCTAAAAATTACAGAAAATTTGAGAAAAAGCTCAAAATTTTATTTCTATTTAACTGAATTTAGACTAATGACAGATGTAAGTGTAAAAAAAGGGCAGTTAATAAATATATAGCCACTGCAATTAACATTTAGAAGGTAAAATATTGAGAGCTGATTTTTTAAATACTACCTGTGGGATTCTTAAAACAAAATTGGAATTTGGTATAACTTGACACATATAATCGAAATATGCATCAAAATCACGCATGTAATTTCAGAACAAGTACGATTTTGTATCAGAATACACATGTTAGAAAAATTGCTATATTTGAATCTATTGTTTATCGGAAATCGTGCTTTCGAGGCATGAAAAACGCGTGTTAAATCTCATTCATTGGCACAGCAGAACGACGGATATAGAACTGTCTCATTCGTTTCGTAGAAGGCGTACATAATTGTTCGTACAAGGTTTGTTGAATTTTCATATTTTTAATGTGGAATTCTCATTATATTATTAATTTCAGTTTAAAATTCATTAGCATGTTAATTAATATTATTAGGTTTCTCGCAGCTGTTAATGAATTGCTGGAAATTTTAACATAGTGATCTCGATCTCTTCATTACGATACTGCGCCGCCCGTCACAGAACTGTCATTGAAGACGATCAGCTAATTGCATTAACCCATTAAAATTACCATCCAAGCTATGATGCTGCCATTTATGAAAGAGTGATGTTCGATGATGTTCTGTGTCCCCGATTCCTGTACCTCAGTGTCTCCACAAACTTACAGTTTTCTAGATCTGAAGACGCTGCACCAGACTGGAGCAATCATATTGAGACATTGTTTGTGCCGCTTTAGTCTTGTCCCTTTCGAATGGGTAGTTAGTGGAGCACAAACACTTTATACTTTGGCTTTAAGGTCCCTTCGTGTGAATATGTCAGTCGTACAGTATTGACAGGTATTTTCTTATGAGGCGAAGCTGAAATAGTTAATGTGTCAAGAGTGGAGGTCGGTTATTGATTTCGCTTGGCGACTATAACAACACTGCGATATTGTTAATTGGGGGTAATTCTTGATCGATCGAGTGCGGCTCTCCAAACAACTTGTTTGAAATTGTTTCCAGAGTCGAGAAATAACCGAATAATAAATGCTTAAGAAATGCGAGATATCTTTGAATGACTGTCCTGGTTCAATGCCTCCGACAGCATGCCAGCCCTAAATTTCTGCCATTCATCTATAAGTTATTTTGTCTTTTCTTTTTGCTTCGTTGTGTAACGCTTAACACATTTGACGCGCATTTGAGAAATTCAGTAATTAGCATATGTTCAGATCCCCAACCTTGATTCGTCGTAATATACGGTATATGCGCACAACCATCTGGATGCGCAGGAATTTTCAGCCACACAAATTGAACTACGCTTCGCAAAGTTATTAATTTGCAGTATTTGCTCAGCTCTTGGAGGCCAGTGTAAATTTTTGAACATTTGCTACTGTTTCAATCACATATGAAACATATGCTCTAATTTTCTCTTTCACCACATATTATCAAAACCGTTGACATAGACTCTGATTAATAATGTAATTGCAAAATTAAAGCGAACAATTGAACTAAATTTTAGGAAGCCTTACACCTCCCCAATTTAAAATATCTTATTCACATTCTAATGATTAAAATATCAAATGCATGAGCATTTCTTTCAAGCTAATTCTAAAAAGGGTTTAGGTTTGCCTAGTTCTAAAAATAAAACTTATTATAAGTTGCATAATTTCTTGTAAATGATTTGCACGAAGGTTTCTGAAAATAAAATTGAGTTAATTTTACCTAATCATTTGTTCCATGCCTAAAGGTCCGACATCAGTTTCAGAAATGACAGAAGCATCCTTCTCCTTGTAGAATCTGTCAGCTAGAATAGGACTTCTACAGGAAAGGATGAGTTTGTGCGCGGGAAAAACTCTCTCTGATGTTCCAACAACTACACGGAATTCTACGTCTGTAAGCAATGTTTTTTGTAAGAGGAGAGACACTGAAGTCCTAATGTCATCAACTTCATCAAACTTCTGGTCTCCTAAAAGAGTAAAATAGTTTACAAAGGAAATCAAGGAACAAAAAGTATGACATAGTTAATACCAAGCATAAATGTTACAGTATATTTAATACATATTTGATAGCAAGTATTGAATATAAAATTAATGCAATTTTTATTTCATTTCGTTTTAGAATGCATTAATTGAATATTTAATTCCTCTTATTACAATTAATTAATTTTAATTTCTATATATATTTTAGCCCAAAAGTGTTAATAGTTTAGTGTTTCAAAAAGCAGCCTGATTTTGCGTTGTTTCGCTTTTCATTCAAGCCTGTTGCTATTCGGCAGAATGTAAGCTATTTCAGATTTGACCTGCTTTTATTTATTGATGAACAAACTAAGCTATGTAAATGTAATATATACAGATCTTAAATATATTACTTTTCTTACTTTTTAACCTGATCTATTTTTTAAAAAAATGCATTTAGTTTAGGATATAACTTACCCACAGACAATAAACATTGAAATGAAATTAATAAAAAAAACAGTATACATATATTAAACAATAAATAAAAAAAACTTTATAAGTATTTTATAGACTTTCATTACATATATTTTCACTTTTTATGTATACAGAAGGAATATAATATTCCTCTTTTAGTCTAAGTCCATATTCATCTAATATCCTGCAAAATATTTCACGGTTTCACCTAGGCCATGTCTGTTCTTAATCTCTACTCATAAACAATATTAACTGTTGAAATAAGTGCTTTGGATGATTGTTAAAATATATTTTTTTTTCAAAAATGTTTTTATTTTCTTTCATCGTTTCTATTCAATTTTAATTATCTATTATTTGTATTTATTTATTTCTCTTTGATGTCGAATATACTAGATTTATGATTTTCAGTAATTTCTCCATAATTATAAAGAAATCTAAGTTATCTGAATAAACTATTTTTTTTTCTTTTCGTTAACTTTTTTCCGATTTTTAGCTATCATATGATTCTATTTTGTCAACTCCTATTTTACAAACTGAAATGAAATTTGTACGGCAAGTAACTTAATGTCTTTGCAATGCATCCTTTTGGCAAAAGCGTATTACATTTTATTTCCTTGTGCGAAGTAAAGGAAGTATTGTAATCACGAAAAATGTTGGGTACCATATATTAACGAAAATATCCATTTTGACCGCTATCGAAAGCAATCGAAAATATCAGTTTTGACCGCTATCGAATGCAATTTAACGATGTTTTTGCGGGACATCTGTACTTAAGGACAGAATGAAGGATTCTTCCCCCGAAAAAAGAAATATAAAAACTGATTTAAAACGAATTTTTTCGAGCGTCTGTAGAAGTTTTAAAGAAATCTCGCCATTTTTATAGACAACACTTTTATATTGAAACTTTCAGAACAAATGAAAAACATTTTTAAGCGCGTGCATCTTCAAGCTCGGATATTTTATGCGCGAGGTTTATTTACATATCCTAGTGGAATTATGTTCGTAAGGTAGCAACGCAAATACGTTACACTCTCAAATTCCTTCCTTCACGGGGAACTTTTGGAAAGTTTTTTTTTTTCTTTTAATTCTATGGAAATTTTGTGGAACTTTCAAGAAAAATTTTCAGTTTAAAATACATTATTATTTTTTTTTACAATACAATGATGTTCAAGCATATCCGAAACAAATACAATTAGATACCTGACAAAATGAGTGCAAGTGCTTTCAAAGAAGTATTTTAAATAAACATATAAAATTCAATATTCTAGTATTAGAAAAATTTAAACAATGAAGTTTTGAACTTCCTGGAATATATAATTTTAGTTGTGGGATGTTTCGATACAACGACGACTTATACTGTCAGCATTTTAACACATTCACGCCAGCACGGGCCACCGGTGGAATATTCTGTGCAACTTGCTGTACCTGTAAAGATGCTGAGTTAAGCAGTACTAAGTTTCCAGCTCCAGGAGGTGGGTGACTGAGCATTGGTATTGTTTCTTCACTAGGCTTTCTTGTGCGATGTTGGGATGCCAGGCCAGAAGATGTTATTGGCTGAGGTAAATAAATTTCTATTTGCGACTTTTGCAAATAATTTTAAATTTCCTTGCACAAATAAAACCTCTTGAACAGGAGGATTCTGTTCAGTGTACAAGGACGAACTTTCTATTTGGTAATATTGTAACGTTGCGCGCCTCCAACTTGCACG